ATAGTGATATGACATGTACACAGTAATGTATATCCCAGCTCCCCTGTGCTCCATTATAGTGATATGACATGTACACAGTAATGTATATCCCAGCTCCCCTGTACTCCATTATAGTGAAATGACATGTATACAGTAACATACATGCCAGCTCCCCTGTACTCCATTATAGTGATGACATGTACTGTATACAGTAATGATTACTGTATACATGTCATATCACTATAATGGAGTACAGGGGAGCTGGGATATACATTACTGAGTATCACTATAATGGAGTACAGGGGAACTGGGATATATAATACTGTGTACAGTTTTATATTTTGGACTCTTTATTCTAAAGAAAAATTAATTTCATAAGCTTTAAGGGAGCATGGTTGGGGGAGGGCCAGGGGTTGGGGGCAGGACGGGGCAAGGTTGGGTGGGGCAACTGGTGGAGAGTAAGTTTTGTGACCGGCTAGTAGGTCTGGACTCCAAATTTTAACCCCTGGTGTAGAATACCTGGGAATACAAGAGAAGCTAGCTGTCATTCTTTAAAATTTTTATTTGAACAGTGGAGATGTACATCCTGGGTGCTGGCCAACTCAGTGCAAGAGAGGCCAGTCTTGAGTGGAGCTATGGATCTGTGTGTGTTTCTACAACTCAATCTTGTTTTATACATCTGGAGAGAACATGTAAGCAGTGTTCTGTTTCTTGGCACCTTATAAAGTATAAATGACAAATATTCCTTCTCGGGTAGAGGACATCCACTCTGCAGAGTCAATGACCTCTAAACACATCACATCACCATCAGAAATCTTCCAACAACACAGAATTTAAAAGATACACACAGAAGCATATCTCCAAACTAGGACTTCAGAATGGAATTTCATTGTTAGCCTGCAGTGCTGGATGCTGAATGTTCTTCAGTAAACTTATCTCATGGTGGTACAGTTAGTAGTATAGGTATTAGTTATTTATATTTCCGGGGTATCTTTTTAAAATAGTGAGAGCCATTTAAAGCTGAAATGACTATATGAAAAGAAAAAAAAAGTAACCATGTATGGCCAAGCCTCATTTTGTTTGCAACTATATCACTATCCAATCACAGACCAGCGTTAGGGGCAGTTAGGGGACTGCTGCTTTATGCAGTTGAGAAAAAAAACCCCATCACCAAAAGGTTACCCTGCTGCTGTGTGAATTTCAGAACTGGAGAGAAAGAAATATTTTGGCAAGCAATACTTTTTTAAATTACGCATTGTGTCTACGCATTGTCGCAATGCTGCATTAAAGATACCAGTACTCAGCGGCTTTGCAGGTCTGCAGACATTACTGCTACAACTACTGGCCATCATTGAGAGCCGCAGTCCAAAAGCGGATTCAATCACTTCCTGGGCTTGTGATCCTGCTACACAGCATTTTCTAGCCATTCACTGACATTGTAATATATATCACATATAATCTGCAGTCTATTTTTACCCCGGGTGCCACATTCAGAAAATGTCAAATACGAGTAATGATTAAAAATTAATACACAGCAGTGAGATCATAGACACAAGCATGTTCATCCTGAGTTACAGTCATTGTGATGAACTGTACAACAAGGAGTAATGGGATTTGTGATGATGGTATTTAAAAATATATAAAAGAATTTCAAGTACTGGACACACAACTGCTATTATAGGCAGAAGGTGAACATTTACATAAAAATTGCTTTCTAAATCAGTATATTTACAATCGGTCTATAAAATTGCAATGTATAAAACAAAATGTTTTTCCTAGGATTTCCCTTTAAATGAATGTCATGCAGCACTAACACTGCACAAATATACTGTATGGAGCAAGGTAATGGAAAAGGTTATGCAGTCTTTGTCTATTGCCAAACTAGAACACAGGCAAGCTCAACAATACACCTCACTGGAAAACCTGACTTTTCTGCACCCGAAAGAACAGCTGATCTATTCAAGATAGAGCTGCTCTCTTGTTCCAGTGTTAAAAGGAAAGCCAAACCTATCTAGGTGACATGATAGCAAAAATGTGGACTTGATGGGATTGTAAAATACGAAAGGGCTTAAAATGTTCAATCTCACAGCTACAAAATGAAAGAATAAGTTCAGTAATGCTTCTAAACTAAGCAAGCAGATTTCATGGTATTATCTGCCCCCAGAAGACTACTGCTCCATCCTGCTGCTACCACGTTTCATTTAGTTTGACTTACACCCAGTGTCATTGGACCCATTTCCTGAGAGTCCAGGTCATCATGACAACAGGACTGCTGTACTGAATGGTGCTTACACATCCCCTTTGTCAGTAATCCGGTGATCCTAAAACACCCTTGCAAGATTCTTGCTGCCTCCTAACCCCCCCCCCCCCACAAACAGAAAACAAACAAACAAAAAACAAGTTTGTCAAAGGAAACAGACTGAATCCAGTAATATAAATCTCAATGTGTTTGGCAATTTAGAAAGTACACTGCGCAAGGCCAGATCTATCCTGTCTGATCTGGGGGTACAGCAAAACAAAAAAAAAAAAAGTCAGGTTCAATGGGTATGCCGGTCTCAGACTTGGTGAGCCACCCCAGCACTCCCCTAGATCCGAACCGGAGAGCAAGAGGAAGTTGCCTTACTCACCCTTCAGGAAGTCTTAACCTTCTACTAAGCTTGTTAGATCTGTGAATAAAAGGGTAGTTACAGGGTAGTTGTCAGACCCTGTAAAATGGCTTTTTGGTAAAAGAGCAGAACCATCAAGCCAGCCCAACAATGGACACCTATACTAGTATTAATATAGTTAGTCTGGCTGAAAAAAAGACAAAAGTTCATCTAGTTCAGTCATAAAAAAAAAAAAAAAAAAAAAGTTATAATTCTATACCCACAGTTGATCCAGAGGAAGGCAAAAAACCCCAGCAAAGCATGATCCAATTTGCTCCAGCAGGGAAAAAAAATTCCTTCCTGATTTCCCAAGAGGCAATCAGATATTTCCTGGATCAACTTTACCTATAAATGTTAGTATCCAGTTATATTCTGTGTCTAATAAAGAATCCTTTTTTAATGCAATCCACTGAGCTGGCCAGAACCAACTCTTGATTCCACATTTTCACAGCTCTCACTGAAGAAACCTTTCCATGTTTGAAAATTAAATTTCTTTTCCTCCAGATGTAGAGTGCCCCCTTGTCCTCTGTGATGACCTCAGGGTGAATAGCTCTACACCGAGTTCACTATATGAACCACTGATGTATTTATACATGTTGATCATATCCCCCCTTAATCTCCTCTTCTCAAGAGAAAATAAATTTAGTTCCTCTAATCTTTCCCCATAGCTGAGCTCCTCCATGCCTCTTATCAGTTTGGTTGCCCTTCTCTGTACTTTCTCCAGTTCCCCAATGTTCTTTTTATAAATTGGTGCTCAAAACTGAACTGCATATTCCAGATGAGGTCTTACTAATGATTTGTACCGGGGTAATATGATCTCTCTCTGGAGTCTATATCGCTTTCAATACAAGACAGGATTTTGCTCGCTTTAAAAACCGCAGCTTGGCATTGCATGCCATTATTAAGCTTGTGATCTACCAGAACCCCCAGATCCTTCTCCACCATTGATTCCCCCAGTTGTATCCTCCCCAGTATGTACGATGCATGCATATTCTTAGCCCCCAAGTGTATAACCTTACATTTATCAACATTAAATCTCATTTGCCACATAGTTGCCCAATTAAACAATGAACTGAGGTCAGCTTGTAAATTGAAGACATCCTGTAAGGACGTTACTCCACTGCACAGCTTGGTGTCATCTTCAAAGATTGAAATAGGATTTTTAATCCCAGACCCTATATCATTTATAAATTAAAAAGTAAGGGTCCCACTGAACACTGAACCCTGGGGTACACCACTGACAACCCTAGACCATTCAGAGTATGAATCATTAACCACTACTCTCTGAATACGATCTTTTAGCCAGTTTTCTATCCATTTACATACAGATTTTTCCAAGGCTGTAGACTTTACCTTACACATTAGCCGTGTGTGGGGAACTGTGTCAAACACTTTTGCAAAATCCAAGTATACCACGTCCACCGCCACCCTTCTTTCCAAGGTTTTGCTCACCTCCTCATAAAAAGAAATCAGATTTGTTTTTGACAACTTCTGTCTTTCATGAATCCATCCTGTCTGTTGCTTAAAATATTTTTTCCAGCAAGAACTCATCTATGTGGTCTTTTATTAAACTTTCCAGTATCTTCCCAACTATAGAAGTTAACTTAACAGGTCTATAATTACTGGTAAAGATTTTAACCCCTTTTTAAATATTGGCACCACATTGGCCTTACGCCAATCCAGTGGTACTATGGCAGTCATTAAAGAGTCCCTAAACGTTAGAAACAATGGTTTGAAATGACAAAGCTCAATTCTTCTTAGAGAGCAAATCATGCTGATATGAAGCCTTTAGGAGCATCTGAAGGGAGGGATATGGTCAAAACAACAGTAACTTTCTGCTGCTTGCTTTCACTCAATACCCCACTGCCCTGTTGGCCCATCAGAGCTCCATCAACCCAGAACTACTAGGTAGCACAACATAATTGGGTGTGTATGAGCAGCCAATACCAGGCCTGAGTTTAGTCATGTCTGGCTGGGACCTCAGCGCAGCACCTGCCATCAAGCACAACTGTTGGTTTATGTATTTACTTATTTATATTATTTGTGCTTGTGAGCTTATTGTACAGATTTTTCTTCATTTTCTGTCTTCTCAAAGGACAGGAAGTGAAAGAATATCTGTCAATGAGAAGGCCATATAAACCTAACAAAACATCTGAGCCTTCCTGATGCAATTTGAGAAGTTAAATAAAAAAAAAAAAAGTAAAAATTACATAACGACGAATTACAGCAGACACCAACAAGCACACTAAAAGCACATTTTTTTTTAATTTACAACAAAATGCAAAATGTACATTATAAACAAAAGAAACAGCAAAGAACAGTCCATGATCCAGACTCATCACTGCCACTTGAGACACCCGCAAAATCTCTCCTGTTTCAGTTTCTTTCATGTGGAAGCTTCTCTGTTACCCCAGTATTGGCAGCTGAAGATTTCTCAAGAAGTTCCAGCATTTTTCCCAGTATCACACCAATGTTGGCCATCTCCCCACGTAAACCTCGCAGGTCAGTAGCCATGCTCCTCTGGAGTTCACAAAGATCTCTTAATCTTTGGTCAACACATGAAAATGGTCCCCTGGAGGTACACTGGGCTCTGCATGCACATTCCTCAGGAGATATCTCAAACATCTGAGTAGTTTGAAAGTTCATACGTTTATTTGATTCGGACACCAACAAAGGACGCCGCCTGTATTTCTTTTTTTTTCTCACTTTAGGTCGTTCATGTTGGCTGGAGGCTTGGCTGTCTGGAGAAGAATCGTGTTCAGCCAGATAAAGGTCCGATTCATATAAGCTATTCGATGACACCTCGGCTATAGTCATCTGTCCCTGAATGGATTCATCAATACTTGGAGGAAAACTGGATGGCATGCTGCCTGTTATATGGGCTATCATGGGCTCTTTAGCATTTGCATGCTCTAAATTTGCATGACTTATTTCCTCAACATATGAGGCACACGATAAAGCAAGCTGGTCCTCATCCACAGTTGTTTCCATGCACTCAGAATGGCAAAATGTCATATTCTCTTGCTTTAAGGAGCAGTGTGGAAAGGGCTTGGCTTTTGGGTATAGTGGGGATGGTGCACGTTGATGCATATCTTCAAGACATTTGCCTGTTAAGGGCACCGGCTGGCTCTGTTCATCTATCCCTTCATCTCCTGTGAAAATGAAAAGCAGAATCATAAAAAATAATCCCTGACCTTCTATTTTATTCTTTGAAGTATGGATAGTAGCTTACACATTCATGTATTTCCTCATTACGTACTTACACATAACCATGGAGAAGACTGCAGCACAGGGTCCTGTCCACTGAGCTACTGCAAAGGAGCAGGAAGAAGAGATTGACTGACCTCATGCAGTTCTAACCTTAAAAACAAATAATTTTCTGCTTAAAATTTGATGCCAAAAAGGCATGGAGGTCAAAAATGTAGCAATATATTTTTTAAATAAATTGAAATATTGTTCAATAGGAAAAAATGCAAATAAATTATGGTTTTTCTTACCTGAAAAATGTGGATCGTCTATCTTCCAGTATTACGCCAGCTAGGGCTTGTGTTTGTTTTCTGGCGACTGTCCACAATGCTGCCATGTTGTTAATGTTCACACAAGATAAAATTCAGAAAGCTTCTTCTCTCTCTTGCAGTAGCCCAGAATAGACATGACAAGCAATGAGCATAGTACATCAACTAAAAGGAGACAGTTCATCCATTCATAAGGATGGATCTCTTAGATTGTAAGTTCCAAAGAGCAGAGCCCTCCTATCCCTCTTGTATTGAACTGTATTGTTGCTGTATTGTCTCCCGTTATATTGTAAACCGCTGAGCAAACTGTTGGCACTATATACATCCTGTATAATAATACTTGAGTCACAGCTCCCTTTGAATTTTCCATTCACTTTAATCTACAACATTCGCTATAAAATACAGTATAGGTAGAGGTTGATGACAGGTGAAGCAGGACCATTAGGTGGCATTAAACCCCAAAGTCAACATTATATAGCAGTTTTCCAATTCTTACATGTGATGGCTGGATTAGTTTTCCGTTTTAGCCTTTCATTCCTTCAGTTTCACCTGGTGATCAGGCCAGTAAAACTGTTATTCAACAGAACAAGCTCTCCAGCAAATGTTAAAGCTACAGGGTTGAGATAAACCATTTACAGACAGGGGTGCTTACAATGATCAGCCTTTATTAAATGTATGTATAAATGTACAGTTTGCCTTCGATGTGTTTGCTAGGACATCTAAACACTCCCCTCCTCCTAGACTGACAATGCTGCTGTCCAGAGGTGCCTCCTGTGCTCCTTCATCTGGAGTGGGGGCACTGTAATAAAGGTGTTTTCCTGGCCAGATCATTGGGGGAAAAATTGCCTAAAAAATAAAACTAATGCAGCTACCACATCTAATGATTGGTAAGCTGCAATATATTACATTTTTGAGTTTAACACCATCTTGAAAACAATATTGCATTCCAATTGACTGTACACGAATATACAAACAGTTTTTATTTCACATGTCCGTATTTATTGGTCTTTCTACACTTGCATGCAGAGCAAGCTGTAAAGCCAAAGACATACTGATTTGATTGGGACAAACTTACTGTCAGGGGTGCTAGAAAACTGTTACTTTTTATTCCCATGGTTTATATAATTTTTTTTCAGAATAACTGCACTGTTTTAGTCAATTTCAACACCAAAATGAGAACCAAAATAAATTATCGATGTTGGGTGGAATTATTCTTTCAATTAACTATTCTCTTTCTGTAGGACACAGATACAGAATTATTCCCTACAAACAGAAACATCTATACCATTTCTATTTCTGCATACTTTACAGAATAATTTATCTTTCTATTATTAATTATTTTCAACATCATGCTTTGTTGGCCAGCAAAACAAGGAACCAAATATTTATCACCTATGGCCAGAACCTTGAAAGGACCTGTAAAACAATGCAATTTCTGAAAAAAAAGCGAGGAAGGTTAAAATCCCTAGCACATTTATTTTGCTGTGTCCTTGATGTAAAAACATATTGTTTAATCACTGAACCAGGAAATGCCATCAATGGCAACAGTAATCATAAGAGGTTTTTATGCATCTCTGTTAAGGAGACTGGTCAGACACCAGAAATGGGCAAAAATATCCCCAATATTTATTTGGAAAGCACACCCTCATGTCCGCATGCCTGAAGGGCAGATGGATTCCAGGAAGTAAATGCTACATAAATGATCTGCCCTTACTCAAGATGGCCACAACAAAAATGCTAGGTGTTTTCAAAGTGATTTTTTTCAGCAAAATAAAGCATGGACACATGGATGGATGGGGAAGTTTGCATTGATTATTAAAAAATGTATTAAAAGAAATAGGTAACAGCAACAGTTTTGAGCAGCCTTGACACTGTGACAAAGAGCAAAGCTACATGAAACTGTTGCTCTGTTAGCCATTTTTTTCTAAGACATAACTACGGAAGTATACTGCAACCAGTCATGTGGATTTCTATATAAAAAGTCTGAAGTGGATGGTTCTCTTGTTGCGTAAATATTTTTTTGGTAACATACTACATGTGGCCAAGTTAGTAGACACTTCATCACACCTTCCTCCATGGCCAAAAGTATTTCGACACAGCTCTAAATTAAGCCCTGGTTCACATCTGTGTGGTCGTGTGGGATGCGATTTCCATGGGCGCGAGAGCCCATTCATTTGAATGGACACCCGTGCCCCAGGACACGCAGGGAAGAAGTATTTGTACTACTTCAGAAAAACCGCAGCCCACACAGGAACTGAAGTGCCCAGTACAGTTGTGATTTCCAGTTCGGGTGGCGTGCTATTAGAATTAATGGCACCAGCCTGCAGGTCCTGCATTCCTCTGTGTGGGGTGGTGCGGTTGCAGGTATTTGTGCGGGTCCAGCAGCGGCACCACCCGCACAGATGTGAACCAGGGGTAAGTTCAAGTGTTTCCAGCGAAAGGGTATTGTTGATTCTACACTGTCAAACCACTTCAGTTCCCAGACCTGTACACTCCCTGTGAACCAGAATGAATTTTACATTTCTGCCATCAGCCTATTGATACAGTAACTCTGTCATTACATAAAGTGGAATTTAATGCTAGATCTCGCTAAGCTTAAAACTGCTCTCTCCTAAAACCTGCTGTATACTAACTAACCTGTAAAAGGAAGATGCACATACTTATCTATTCTCAGGGTCACGTGATCTCCATAGCAGCAGGCTTCAGGGGAAAGGAGACATAGCTGACAATGGCTGGAATGTCTGGGCAGTGATGACACCTATAGGCTTACTATGGGGCATCAGTTGTCAGCTGCCCCTCCTCTCCCCTAAAGCCACCACTGGGAGCTGATCACGACCAGACCAGAGAACCCTGAGAATAGGCAAGCATAAGCATCTTCCTTCTAGGGTAGTTAGTGTAGGAGTTAGAACAGGGTTTTAGGCTCCACACAAAAAGGCTGGAAAACACGCTGGATAAAAAATGCTGTTAATAGCATTTACGGTTTTATTAGTCTTTTTACAGTACATGTAGGGGGGAAAAAAAGCCGTTAGAAGGGTTTTAGGAGCATTTAGGATTTTTTTTTGCTGGAAAAACGCTCAAAAAAAAAAAAAAAAAAAAAACACCAAAAATGTTTTCTCTGCTCCTAGAAGCTGAACCTCAAAAAACGCTTATAGCCTAGTGGAGGGGTTGGCAACTGTGGCCCTCCAGCTGTTGGTGAACTAAAAGTCCCATCATACCTCTGCCTTTGGGAGTCATAACTGCTAAATACCTTTTCTCATCAGCAGTTAGAACAGTCTCGTGATTTTTATCAGTGCCCGGCTGAGCACAACTTAAAGCTTGTAGTTTTCATTTTGCTCTAGGAGGATGCAGAATGCCTGACCTCTGTCTGTACAGTGCTGATTGGCCCTGTGCTGATCACATGCACTCTCCCAAGAAACCCCCCCCCCAAAAAAAAACTCCTCTCTAGCAATACAAACCAAACTGAGCATGTGCAGAGCGACTCCATATGATATGTCTTATCAGGAGATTGGGGGGGGGGGGGGGAAGACACTGGAAGAAGGAGAAGATCAGAGAAGACAGGATCAAACAGCTGTTTTACACAATGCAGAAGATTAACCCCTCAGGTTTCACAAGCATGCTTTACTGCATATACAGACTGATTTTACTGTTGTGGGTTTAGTAACACTTTATCATTTTATTCTCTTTAAAAACAGTCAAAAATATTATTTGGATACAAATCATTGCACAGCTATTTACAAATTAAATAAAGGCATTTCCTTTTTCTCAACTTTGCACTTTTGTTAATGTGACTCTAAAAAAAAAAAAAAAAATTACGAATAGAGTTGAGAAAATTAGGTGTACTGAGGAACCAACTTGCATGATAAAGAGCAGAGAAGAGAAATGTCGGAAAACTCTAGTACTGGAATATTCTCTCAGAATTCAAACAAATCCTAGCAGGTTGACCAAGACTTGTTCTAATACCATGCCTTGAGCCATCTATTTTCTAATTCTTGGTGGGCTATGGTGTGCTCCTGATTATTCCTTACACCTCATTTCCAGGATCACTCATGAGAGCACTTTAAATCAAACATTGCCAGAATTGTCCTTTTTATAATCTCCCAGGTCATGGATTGTTTCCATCAAGATCTTGTGCAATCCATACTATAGTGGATATAAAAAGTCTACACACCCCTGCTAAAATGTCAGGTTTTGGTTATGTGAAAAAAAAAATGAGACAAAGATAAATCATTTCAGAACATTTCCACCATTAATGTAACCTATAAACTGTACAACTCGATTGAACAACAAACTGAAATCTTTTAGGTGGGGGGGGGGGGGGGGGAAGTAAAAATAAAAATCTAAAATAATACGGTTGCATAAGTGTGCACACCCTTAAACTAATCCTTTGTTGAAGCACCTTTTGATTTTATTACAGTACTCAGTCTTTTTTGGGTATTAGTCTATCAGCATGGCACATCTTGGCTTGGAATATCTGCCCACTCTTCCTTGCAAAAACACTCCCAATCTGTCAGATTGTGAGGGCATCTCCTGTGCACAGCCCTCTTCAGATCACCCCACAGATTTTTGATTAGATTCAGGTTTGGGCTCTGGCTGGGCCATTCCAAAACTTATTGGCCAAAAATATCAGCCTTGGTTTC